AAATCACTAGAAAGCAACATACACGAAAGAAGCCAAATAGAAAAAAATCAAAAATAAAAATCAAGGTGTCATTAAAAATAGCAAAATAAATAGAAGAATGGTAACAAACCAAGGTTGCAGCAAAAAGCCCCAGGAGTGCCGGGGTGCAGGGCTTTCCGGGGGGCCGAGCTGACCTGGGAGCCCAGTGGGATGGGCTGGGCCAGGCCGGGCCGGGCCGACCACGCGCGCATGTGTCCAGCCTGTCCCACACGCACACACGTGCGCACGCACACTTGCAGCCTGTCCCACGCGCACACATGCACACTTCCAGCCTGTCCCACGCGCACACGCACACTTGCAGCCTGTCCCACGTGCACACATGCACACTTCCAGCCTGTCCCACACGTGTGCATGCACGCTTCCAGCCTGTCCCATGCACACACATGTGCGCATGCACTTCCAGCCTGTCCCCGCTCTCCGCCGGCTGGGCTGAGCGCTGCTGGTGCAATGTTACCTTAAACCAACACCTCTTGCTTTCCCATAAGGGTCTCAGACACGGGAGGTGCAAGCAGAAGGAACAAATCCCGTTATACCCCGTTCCCTCTGCCTTTCAGCATCTGCGCTCTGCCCCTGTGACATGGATATACTTTTTGCAGTTCAGACCTCTCATTTCTCATCAGTCATTTTGAGTCGCTCTTGGCCCTGTGGCGCTCAGGCTTCTTGAGCAGCAGCAGGGCCTGGATGTTGGGCAGGTGGATGTTGCCACCTTCAGCGATCGTCACTTTGCCCAGCAGCCTGTTTTGCTTCTCGGCCTTGGGAATGGCCAGCTGCAGGTGCCGAGGGACAACGCACATCTTGTTGTTGTCCCGTGCCACGTTGCCCGCCAGCTCTCAGCCATCAGGCACTCCAGCACGGCAGCCATATAGACAAGGACTCCAGCTCCATCCCATTCAACATACTTACATTTTGGAGCAGCCAACGCACATGGTCCACGGGAAACTGCAATCCTGCCTGCGTGCATCAAGACTTGACCATAGCCCTTTAACTCCCCTGCTTTCCCCAGCCCTACTTATCACGAGCACCTTCCACTGAAACAGGAGATGGCACGAGACGGGTCAATGATCTGACCTGTAAATGGTGGTCCTTGCATTACACTGATGTAAATGTGTCTTTACAGGGAAGGCCTGGGAGAGTTGCTGTGCTGCTGCTCTGATGACAGCAACACAGACCAGACTGCAATTATCTTTAAAGTGTTTTGCATGGGACTGTAAGAATCCCCCAGAGGCACAATGGGCTTGCCTGTTGAAATCAAACATCATCATGCAGAAGGGCATAACCCAAGCACTGCAGTACTGTGTCTGGTGTGGGAATGATGGGTAGCTGCTTTTTTTTCCTGCATAGTTTATTTATTAAAAAAGGAACCAAAACTATTCCTGATTTTTTGAGTTCACAGAATAGCTTCCTATGGGGGCAGAAGGGGAAGGAACAATCAGGAAGATTCCTGAGAAAGCGATGTTGTGGAGGATATCCCGCCCATGTCTCTCAGTAATGCTGTTCCACTTGGAATTCATCAGGGCAAGATCCTTAAAAGCAGCTCAGGTTAGTGCCAAAACCCCAGAAAAACAGCCTGGTTCAATGGCTATTTAAGAATGTTATACAAAGTGAAACAGCATCAACAGGAGAAAAGGGGAGAGGACTCGCTTCTACCTACCTTACATCATGGTGTTTAGGGCACATTCCCGAGTGGGTGAGTGGGTAAGTGGGTGCAAAAAATTTGAAGCTGGCCTCCCGTAGTGCAAGCGGATATCCTAATTCAGAGACTCCCTACCCCCAGGCCACAAAGGGTTGGCTGCTGGTCCGCAGGAGGGTTGGCTGCCAAACTGGAAGTCCAAAAGTGAACAGCGTACTGCAGGCTGGCAGCCGGTCCCACAATACGCCACTCACTTCCGGTCTGCAGCAAGCTGGTCTGCAGTTTGCCGGTCCACGGTCACTTCCAGTCCACAGTTTGCTGGCCCGTGGTCTAAAAAGGTTGGGAATTACTATCCTAATTCATTCGACTAGTGAGTAAAGAGGATCCTTTTCCTCACTGCGTTTGTGACACTCGCCCTTTGTGGTTATTTTTTTTAAACTGCCATAATATGGGACGTGTTCCACCTAAATCAAATACAATTTGATTCATCCAATTTAAACAAACAAAACAACCAACCGACCAACCAAAAACTTGCCGTCTTGAATTGGCCAAACATTTTTGGCTTTTGATTTTTCAATTGACAGCCAAATTGAAAAATTAACAACTTGTAGTCATCTGAGGAAAGGAACAAGGCAAGCTGACCAGTTCTGTCCAACTTGCATGATGGGCACAAAGTAAACTAACAGCACGCCAAGCAAATAAAGAGTTTTGAATGTGAACGATCCAAAACAATTTTTTGTTTTTTGTTTTGTTTTGATAGGCTACAAATAAAAATCCCCACTGATATCAACTGAGTTGTCAGTATTCCCACGGTATTCCCCACAGATTGAAATGCATTTAAGAGAAGGAAAAAAGGTTATCATGATCAATCTAAGTTGTCCAAAACAGGCATACAGGCACTCCCCGACTTACAAGGTTTCGAGTTACAGCGTTTCACACTTACAATGTTTATAAATCGACACCCTGTTTCGACTTTATGACATCAGTTTTGACTTGGACAACGCTTGATTCGATGTGACGCCAGGCCAGCGAACAAGTTCGCTGCATCGTCCATCTCCCTGGAGAACATCTGTCCAAACTTCCTTGGACACTTTCTTTAAGAAAGCAGATGAGACTCCAGAAAAACCTGCAGCCAAGACTCCAGCCAAGAGCCCTTCAAAAAGTCAAACAAAGTCACCTCAAAAAAATCCTTCCAAATCAATATGATTGCTATTTACAATATAAATACATTCATGTAGCTATGTTACTCATCTATAATTGATCAAGTACAAAATTCTGGGTTATTTTTGGTGAAAATAGGGTATCAGGCCTTGGTTCAGGAACCAGTCCCTTATTTATAACATTGTTTCTTTTGAGAAAATTGGTTTCAAGTTACAATGTTTCGACTTAAGACAGTTTTCAGGAACCAATTATGAGTCCAAGGACTTCCTGTATAAACAAAAAATCTAGGGAGAAAGCACATTTTCTGCAGACAGCTTGAGATGTGCCTGTTACTAGACAAATATAAACCAAGATGCTCTGGAAATAAAACCTCCAATTAAAACCCAAACCAAAAAACACTCTCTCTTCTGCAATAATCAATTACTTGACATTAAATGAGAAATTATTTGGGCAGAACTGGATCCCAGAAGGAATCAGAAGGCCACAGGCCTCAAAAACACAATGTTTAATACATTTCATAGAATAGAACATATTGGACTTCAAAGAGGAAATAATACTGGGTCTGAGGGAGACCACAGGCTTGACTCAAACCCAGGTGTAGGAGGGCTGCAATTTGTGCAAACATGTTAGGGTCACGGGGCCAATAAGAACGTATAACCCCTGTGCCTCAAGTTTCTTCCTAGAAAGGCAGCTTTAATTCCTGTCCCATAAAGAAATAAGTATCCTATCAAGCCCAGCTCAACATGAATGTACCGAATCAGCTGAGTTCCTACACATCCCACTCCTGGCACCTTCTGAAAGGCAAGAGCTGCCTTCAGACACCTGCCCCACCCCTGTCCAGCAAGGTTTGCAGGATGCTTGCACCTCTGCTCCTCCCTCCCATGCCCTCAAGGGAACTAGATGGCTAATTAACTAGACTTAATTAAGCCACAATTAAGTTCAGAGGGGGAAGAACACCTGAGCAGCTTCATGTGCCCCAAACAGAGAAAGCATATTTACTTCCCAAAGGAAGAGTCCTTCACACCTTCCACATACAGAATGAAGGGTCTCCTGGACATGTCACATACTTACCCCTCTAGTCTCCCAAAAGTAGGAGTGTATTCTCTACAGAGTTTGGGCCCAATTTTCAACTACCACATCCAAAGCCATATGCCTAGTTTATACACCATCTTGGCAGCACATATCAATCCCATGCAGTGCCCTGTTCTGCAGGGAAAGATGGAATGAGGATTTGCACATGCAAGCATTAGGCCTTGAAACCTACTGAAAACTTGGCCCTTCCATTTTACACACACACAGACTGATTTAAACCAAAAAAACTATGATATGCAGGTACCTCACTACCTCTTAAAAAAAAAAAAAAATCAATACTACAGCAAAGCACTTGTTGATCTACCAGATGCAGTGCCAAGCCCTTTTCAAGGTTGCACACTTGGGGTTTCTGATTCTAGCATTTCCCCAGGGCTTTGTGCAATCTAAGTGCTGTACAAGCCTCAGCCAATGTAATTATGAAATAATAGCTTAGGCTGGAGACACTCAGTACACGCAGACAGTTGTAAATCTATATTTTGGGATTGTTCAAGGATAAGGACATTGCCAAAATAAAAGGTCCATTTTGTCTCCTAGTACGTATCAGGCCACATTTCCAAATTAAGGGGTCCTACTTACCCAAGGCAGGGGTAGCCATCCTGTGATATGAATGCCACAAGTGGTAAAGGCAGCCTGTGTGGCATACAGCAGAGTTGGGAGGGGACAGATGGCACAGTGGCGTATCAGGCAGCAACCAGAAAGCAAAGCAACAGCACAGGCAGGGGAAAAGAATCAGAGTGGCACTTGGGAAGGGTCTGGGTATAATTTGTGGCACACCTGCCAAAAAGGCTGGCCCCCACTAATGTAATGGCCAGCTTCTTAAACTTGCAAAGGTTAAGAGAGCAAAGACAGTTTGACTTTCATTGGTGAGAGAAATCAGGGCCATCAGTATGATAGCAGGTCTCAGGCCAAACACAAAGGATTCTGTGTGAAAGTGACATATCGTACACAGGATAAAATAAGATTCTGACAACATTTAGAAATTGTTTCAGCTGCAGATGGGAAAGCTCTACAGAGGAAAGGTTTTCAAAAAGCTAGTTCAAGGAGGTCTTTAATCCATAAAATAAACACGAGAAAAATCTGGGTTGTTTTTTTTTATATTTCCCCCTGTAAAGATTGTACATATTTAAATAACTGTATTTTTCAAGTAAGCACTTTTACTGTAATAAAAACAATTCAAATGGCAAGGAAAAGAACTCCGCCTGCACCAGGAAGTTCCTTTCTGAAGCACATTTTCTTTTCAGTGATTAGTTTTCAAGTATTCCAATTCAAATGCATTGGTTAGTCCTGTAAATGGTCAGTTTTGTTGTCATTTTGCATTGCTTTTCCAGCTCAGTTCCTTTTGGGCATAAGCGATTCCTCTGTTCAGCGCGTAAGTGATCTTCTCCTTTAAGAACTGGATTAAGAAAGGCCACTTTGTTCTATGCAAACTGAACTGTAAGTGGTAAAGGTCCTGGTTCCAGTCATTTATGGGCTCAGTCCGAGTCATCGTCACAACCATCGCTGCCATCAAGTTCATTGTTGTTCTGCAGGACAATAGAAAAGAAATGGCAGGGTTATTGCATTATCACTTCTAGAGAGACCCACATCAAAGCACTGGATCTAATCTACTCCAGGGTACAGGCGAAGATGAATCTGAATCCTAACTTCATGCCTTGCACCCACACCTACTTTCTGTCGAGTGTAGAGGGTACTTCAGGAGAGGTAACCACCGTACTTTTGGTGCTAGATAATTTGTTTACTGCATTCTCATCAACTGGGGTAGGCTTCTATTCAGCGAGCTTGGCAAGTGCATGATTGTATAAACAGCACACTGAAAATGCCAACAGTGAAAATTCATTTTCGTAAGCAGATCACTTAAAACCTTCATTTTTCCAGTGGTCTGAAACCACTACCCAACTGCTATGGCTCCCACTGTATTCCATACCTCGCTGTTGGGGGACTTATCAGTTTGGTGATGGCTTCAGACAATTGAGTTTAAATCCAACTTCTTGTCCCAGAGATCATAGAGTCTTATATACAAGTACCGAAACAGTAAGTTACTTCAAAAAAATAACTTCAATTGTACATTAGTTGATTACTGAGGGGCTACTGGAATACAGACATGGTTGAAACTGATGGTAGCACTGTAAGCATAAGTCAATGCAACCATACACATTCAGCATTCTACCTTCCTAAAGCAAAATGTCAAGAGTAACCCAAAGACAGGTTATGAAAAGGAAAAGCAGTGCTGCTGATTATTGTTTTGTGCTTGAGGATAATGGCTGGCCCATAGCTAATTGAAAAGCAAATGCTAAAAAAAAAAAATCGCTGGATTTGGCTTTAAAAACAAAACAAAAAAAAGTGTTAAAATAAAAATCCAGCATTGTATTTTTATAACTGCAAAAGCACCAACACACCACGTTAAAGCATAAAGCAGCTACAAGGCTTCTAAGGACCAGGTCACAAAACTCATTTATCTGCCTTCAGCCAATGACTCAGCTGACTAGGAACCTGATGCTGTAGGTTTGAGTTTATGGGTAAGAAGCAAGACAGCCTCCTGTTACCCAACTCATCGCTGTTTCTTGAACGTATGGCATCAGTGAGCCCCACCTGTTACCTTCAAACAGCACTAAATAGGTAAATTATTTTTGCATCCTATGCTCTTTCTGCATCACATTTAACGTATTTGTTATCAGCATTTTGCTTCTGGTCATGAGCGTTTCCATGAAATACATGCTTTCCTGCAGTGATGCTGATACAATTGCCTGAAGTGCAATAAATCCAAGAAACTTCTAGCCTAGGAGTAAGCAACCCACCACATGCCTGGCATACACACCACAGGGAAGGGATCGGGGCTGAACTGCCACAAGGATCAGGCCCCTTGCAACTCCCCCGCTGTCGGTGCCTGGCACGGCAATATCTTACAAAGTCGAGGTTGCAGGTGTTTTTGGTACTCGGCCCAAAAATGTTGTCCATCCCTGGTCTAGCCCCTTGTCAGGGCAGGACTTTTCTCTACTCAGCAGAATATCCATTTCTGAAACTCCTGTTAACCAAAGGCCACTATTATGTTTTTCAGGGTTAAAATGATTAACGCTCCAATTCTTCCCAGCCTCATCACTGCCACTTTACGGGTCTTCTAGTTCTGAAGCCAGGAGGACCCAGTCATAAGACACACAGACCTCCTGGGTCCATCAGGTCTGGTCCTCTGCTCTCACAAGCAACCACCTCAAGTAATCCCATTCACGAATCGAGTCACCACTCCCAGTATTCAGAAACGCTGCCTCACATTTGTAAAAATACCAGGATTCTATTCAACTGTTTTCCTCACATTGTCTCCAGTCTACTTTTGTCACACTCAAAGCAAAGATTTCAACTATTTCCTTGCATGATTATAGTACATCCCATAGTTCCAGGAAAATTTCTTGAATTTCAGCCTAAATTTTCCTTTTCTTAAAAAAATCCCATGTTTGCCTGTTATACTTATAGCCGCTCCAACTGCTGCTAACTCAATTCTACCACCTCTCATGAAGTTCCCCGAGGTTTGCTGCTCACAAAGGGTTAGCAAGACTTGGTCAAGAATAACTAATGAACCAGAGCTTAAACATCCACCCAGCTTCAGCCCCCTTGCATCTAAATAGATCATTAAACAAAATAGAGAACCAGATAAATGCTGAGATCTCCAGGCAGATGGGTATGTAAAGGGATACTGTCAATTTGAAATTATGTCTTTTGTTTTAAGAGAGTTCAAAGCCACTACAGGTTGAACTGCCTGCCCCTGCCTTCCACTGCTAATCTGTGTGGTTTTGTAATCCTTCCTCCTGCATTTAGGGATGGCTTTTCCTGCCTGCTCTCGCTTGTCGCGCACAAACCCACAACAAAAATAAAATGGGTAAAAGAGGCTGCATGCGAAGCATGATCAACTGCACAGTCTGGAAAGAGAGAGAGAAATTCATCTAATTTTTCACCTTCCTCTCAGATGCCATCTGAGGCAGTGCACAGACAGCAGGGAAAATGGATTTGGGGAAAATGAGCAACTCCAAGTTGACGTGTCCCTTTAAAACAAATCACTGCCATAGGAGAAGACAAACATTACCTTGGAGCTCCCGTCATTGGCTTGCGCCCCTGTAGCAGTGGAACTGAAGTCATGGATGGAGAGGGTATTCATCCAATTCACCATGGACTTTTCCTCCTGTTCCGTGTTTATAATTGTTGGATAGATATGTTCCTCTTTGAAAGCAGCAATCTTCTCCTCCTCCTCTACCCATTCCAGAGGCTCGTGCAGCCCGTCATTTCCAAAGCGCTTGTTGTACTTTTCAAAGTGCACCCTTTCCAAAACCAGCCCCAGCCCCGGCGCTTTGGGGACATCCACCTTCTCCTCTCCCCAGCTGCGCTCCATGATAGACTCAGCCGTGTAACCTTTCACTACTGCAATCACCAGACCAATCATTTTCCTTATCTGGTGCATCATGAAACTCTGGCCTTTCACCTTTATCACTGCAAATTCCATGCCTTCTCTCACAAAGGGCTCCTCACAGAACATCTCCATGATATACCGATTGGCACTGGGGTCCTTGGCCCCTTTCTGAGAGGTGAAGTTGTGGAAGTTATGAGTTCCTTTGTAGCAAGCAAGAAGTCTGTTGACTTTCTCCAGTCTCTCTTGGCTCAGTCGGTAGGTTTCATCTTGGGGATCAAGGTCCTTTTGGGCAAAGGCAAATGTTGGTAGCATGTAGGAGTAGGTCCGGGCATCACATTTGGTCTTAGAGTTGAATCCCCCAGTGACTCTTTTCAGTCCTTATTTCAAAGGTGACATCAGATTAGGCAGAACAGTTAAATCAGCCATTTCAGCCCAACTATGATCCCCCACCCACTAGCAGGAAGAGCATCTTTTTCAAGGTAATGGGAATTCATAAAAATCCGTAACAATCTAATCAGCCACATGGAAGCACAAAGACATCTGCACTTAAGGATGCCTCAAAATCCAAATCAAAGGGGTGTCTGGACACACGGCTGGGATACTCAGTTTCAAAATCCTTACCCAGAATTCTGATATCTGAAGGGAGATGATTATTGATCTTTTCTAAAATGCTGTCCGTCAGCCAGACCTTCAGTGACACTATCTGTCCAGCTGCGGACACACCCTATAAAACAAAAACGAACAGCGTACACACACACACACATGATTATGCCACAGTAGAGGACCTGTATCAGAAACAAACTGAAAATAAATAAAGTCAATGCATATGCATTTCTCATAGGTAGACAAGGTCCTTTGGGTCTCTGTGATATCTTTTATTAGATCAACTGAGTACGCATTGTTCATTTCTTTATAACTAGTAATTTCAAGCTGAAAGGAGGCAGAGAAATCATCATTGGCATTGATCAAAAAAAAAAAATAAATAAATTGCTGCCATAGGGGAATACAAACATCAATGATTTTAGCTTCCCTGCAAAACTATGCTGCATGGCACTTCCCTTCCTCACCTCTCCCTCCTCCATGCAATCTATGAGACTGACATAACCAAGAAAAAGAGTTGAAGGGATTTGCTTTGTAAGAGGCCTTCACATTCTTATAAGGTAACAGGAACAAGAGTATAAATCCATTATTAATGTCCTCTCCTCTGTGGCATCTTGCTGGGACATGTACAAAAACAAAAACCTGTACTGTAGGCACTTACAGCCATTAATTTATAACACAGAAGCATGTTAGCCGATTAAGGATTAGTGCCCTATTGTGCACACGGGTAACATTTTAAAGGCTATTTTATCCTCAATATTATCACATGTTAATTAACAAATGAGAAACTCCCATTAGAAAAAACTGATCTTATTGCTCCTCATGACATTCTCAGCACTATCACCTCCTGTACAGCATGAAGGGAATGGCCCCAACCAGCACACCTTGTCTGTCCGTGCACATCTCTGAAAGGACATCTTTTTCATATCTTCCCCATGGTTTTCTGGGATGCAGCCAGCCTGAACAAGGGCAGACACCAAGTCGTCTTCAATCGTCTTGAACTGAGGGGATCCCACATTTCGCTGGAAGAAGAGAAAAAGAAATGAAATAAAAGAGGTTAGTAACTTAGTAACTGCTCTGAGAATACAAGAGCAACAGGGGCCTGTACAGCAAGCCCTTTGATCACATTTTACTGGGAATCTAAACAGGTGTATTTTGGCGCTTCATTTGCAAATGCTGCTAGTTACAAACACTTGAGATTTCAGCATTAAATATCCCAACTATGAATACCTAGACTTTGGTGGGGATTATTAAAAGTGGGTCTGAAAGGCACAAAAAAAGGGTTTGTTCTTCCAGTATACACACTGGAACAGCAGGCACCATAACCCCAATCCCAGTACTCTGGAATGCTTCATTCTGACATCTATAAACTAGAATTGTGGGTTCTTTGACTTTACTTCTCGAAGGAAGCACATGATCATCTTGTCTGCCTTTGTGCAGAATGCAGGCCATTGAGTTCCAGGCAATCATTCTATAACTAAACCCAAATATGAGCGAACCAGAAGGCTGCTGCTGTTAACATGGCTATAATACTGTCTGCAGAGCTTGGTGAAGAAGGCAACATCATATCCATGGACTTCTCCAGACTGGGAACATTTATAACACTGCCATTATGCAACTGGCATCAAAATGTAAGCGCCCCCCCTCCCCTCTCCAGTGTAACCATGCTGCATCAGTGCAAGTACACCAAGCTGCACTAAGCCACCCTGAGGCACCATACCTAAAACGGAGCTTGCAACATCTCTCTTCGCTTGGCTCCCGGCCCCTTTGCAGATGATACACAGCTGTGGGCATACCGATACAGCTAGAAACGGGCCCCAACAAGGAGCAGGCTGGATTTATGGCCTAGCTACCTACTTGCATCCCATGGTAACCTTTCCCAGAATACGCCATCAACAGGACAATCTTCCTTTTGGGAAGCTTCTTATTCTGGTCTTCCACATCCTCCTGGTCTCTCTTGAATCTTTTGGCCTGATGTCCGTTTTCCTCTTGCTTTTCAATCTCCTCACTGTTGGTGCTGCTGCTCTTTAGTCTCTTGGCTTGGCTGGCAGCTGCTACTCGCAAACCCTCAGCCATTGCAAAACACTGAAAGGGATAGAGAAGGGAAAAGGGTTCAGCCAACAACATTTTCATCCAGTGTGGGGGAGGAGCAAAAGGATTACACTGAACGCTTGAGCTGCAATTTAGGCCTCATCTATACTAGCACTTTGCCTGTGCATTATACAGGCACACTTCTCTCTTTCCGGCACATTAACAATGCTGGCAGATCTCCAAAGGGGAGACCTGGCTGCAGCATTTACAGCTGGACGAGCGAATGATCAAGTCAAGGAAGTTTTTAGCTTGTCCTGCTACTGCTTTTCCCCAAGCAAGGATCCAACAGGGCCATCTCATTTATGGATGCAACAGCTGCACAAGCCCCGTTATCCTCATCCGACGTAAGGAAAACGACGGCACTGGCAGGCCAACGACTCTCGCCCCCGGTGGTCTCATCACCAGGCTTCCAGCAGAGCCCAGGCCTCCCACCCCGGCCTCCAGCCCATCGGCCGCGCGGCCCCCGGCAAGGCTTTCACCTTCCTGGGCAGGGCTGGAAGGGAACGAGGTTGCGGGCCGGCCCCCTGCTCGAGGCAGGATCTCCCCCCCGCTAACCCGGCCCAGGCAACCGAGCTCCCGGGCGGAAACAAACACACGCAGCCGGAGGGACATCGCACAGGCGCGTGCACACAGATGCACATGCACAGATACACCTGCACGCACGCACACATGTTGTCATACATGCAAACATGCACCAACACATGCATGTGCGCGCGTGCACACACACATACTCCCATACACACCCACACGCCTGTACAAAGATATAGGCACGTGCACACAACTGCACACACACACACACACACACACACACACACGTGCACGCACGCGCCTATTCACACTTGCACGCTGGCGCGGGCACGCACACGCGCAGGCTCCAGCGGCCGCAGCCGGCCCACAGCTCCTCCCCAGCAGCCGAAGCCGGCGGCGCCCACTTACGCGCCAGCGGGCCGGCCGGGACCACGTGGGCACGCGGAAGGAACGAGGGGCGGAGCCTCACTACGGGCGCCGGGCAGGGACAAACCACCTACGGGCGCCGCGGGGAATGGAACGCTGCCTGACTCGCTGGGTGACGTCAGGAGGGCGTGGCAATAGGAGCTGACACTCCCCTGCCAGCTGCAGTGAGCGAGTCGCTCCGCCTTGCAGCAAGCGCGGGGGCATGTAATCAGCGCCGGAAGAGATGTTAATTAGGATAAAGTAAACAAATGCTACATAAGTGTGATTCTATAGTGACTGATCCCAGCCTAAAGCACGCTCCTTACACCACAAACATTTCCAGATTAGAATCTGGTGCCCTTCAAACCCAAGTATAATACTCTCCTGCTGCACGTGTGCATGGGGCGAGGGTACCTGAATGTCTACAGGCCTTTCAAAACAGCATAACTCAACATTTTTTGGCTTCCTGTTGACTCTATTCTAGTGTTACTTTCTGTGTCGTCTCTCTTCTGCGTAGTTTCTCTCTTCGGTCCCCGCCTGCTTTTCATCTGTTCAGGTTTCTCATGGTTGGGGCTGTTTGTCACAGCCGTTTTGCAGGAATTTATCCCCGCAAATAGTGAAATGCTGCACTAAGAGGGATATATCTGAGCTGTCCTTTTGCTGTCAGGCAAAAATAGTTATTTTGACAAAGGGAGAGAAGTGAAAAGCCCGAGTTGTTGGGCATTTGCACGTGTCCCCAGGCACGAGTATTTGATGAGACCGGCGGTATTCTCGCAATGAATATACAGACCGTGCTACACGGGAGTTAGCTATATCCTAGTAATAAGCAGACCAGAAAACTGTATTGATTGATTGCTGTAGCTAAACTTCTAACCCTCTTTTTAGTCCTTATTTGTCACAGCACTTACTGCGGCAGATGACAGAAAACACAACATGTGTGCCTGTTAAATCTTGTTAAAAGTGCATTTTCTCTGACATAGGGTTGAAAAATAAGTGCTTCTTGAAAAGAAATGGGCAAATAAATAAATTGCAAACAAAATAATAACGAAAGGACAAAGAACATGAGCAGCAATAAGCAGTACTGGCATTACTCAGAGAGTAAGTCATGATCTGGTCTCTGCAATTGCCCAGCATTAGGACAGGTTGCTAGTGCAGAAGTGAGTGATTACTGGAGACCAAGCAATGATCATAAAGGAGCTCCTTTCACAAGCCTTTGAGTGTCTCTCTCATGACTCCAAGGTTTCCAGAAGCCTGAGCAGAGCTCTACTAAGCTGAGTGCTCCTCTACTTAATTAAAGGGCCTTAATTTCTGTACTCATGCCTCTGATTGTACAAATAAAGGACCCTGCTTTCCTTCCTAACCCACCTGATCTCAATATAGTGCTGATAAATACATACTAATAGGCTGAAGGGGTGAAGAGATAAAGGAAGTCTCTCAGGATCTACAAGGAGAGCTCTTGCTTCGAACAGTGATATTATACAAATGGAAAGTGGTGCTGGAAGAGCTGGTGCAATAAAGCTGAGGGAAAGGCTGCCCTTTGCCTTTTGGTACCGAGGCAGCTGACTTCCAAGTTACTTCCCAAGTTAGGCAATGAGCAATCCTTGAGGATCTGGACCTTAGTCTTTCAGGGCCTCAATTCAGGCATAAAATGGAAGCAAGGACTTCCTTCATCTGTATGCGTCTTGTCTACTACATTGTAAATGCCCTCTGGCAGGGATGGTCTCATGTGATGTGCTGCACAGCACCTCGCACAACAGGCCCCTGGGGGTGCCAATAATAATAATAATAATGAGGAACCAGAACAGGGACTGGGTGGTAACCGGCTAGGCTTGTCCATTGCTCTTCAACCATACAAAAACCAGGTAACAGTTAAACTAGTCAATCCAGCAATAGCAAGGGGGAAACAAACCAGTTTAACTATATTAATCCAGCCCTAATTAGGCTCCTAAATGAGATAATCCAGAAATATTAACTACCAGTAATGTTGCAATTACCAGAAATATAAACAGGAGGTATTCTGTTGGCAACCTGTGGCTGATTAACTCCTAAGATCTTCACCCTGTCTTCCCCAGGGACCTGTGTCATTGCTCATTCCCCCTGGCAAACCGAACAAACTTGTCTCAAGCACAAATGCCAGAGTAACAATAGGCAGATTTTGATTTTCCTCCTCAGCCTGGCTCAGCTGCCTTCCTCCCGGCAAGCTTTTCCAATCTCATCATTTTTCTCACGCGCGCCAATATTTGCCTGGGCGTTTCTGCAGCAAACTTGGTCTGCATTGATTTACACAATTATAAGGCTTAGCACAATGTGTTGCCTTATCAGGCCTCAGCATGTATCTCCTGAAATGCACAATGCATTTGGAAACTGCTTTCTCCTCCTACCTGTCTCCGTGCCTCGCGGGGTAGAATGACCCGAGGAGAAATCTGGTTTCCCCACCTATCAGTGAGGGGTGTCTGCAGATTAGTAGCGGCTCTCGTTTGTTCAGCTGGAAAATGGAACAGTTGACAATTACAAGCAGGACTGATTATCCAGCCCCAGCCTATTGTTGCTGCTAATAAGGGGAAGAAATGCAGTGCTTCCCTTTCAGACTGAATGCATCTTAGTTTGGAAGCAATACAGGAGGCAGGGGACTTCTCTCATGTTGAGAGATGATAAAAGCCAGCCTGTCGAAATAAGGAGAAGCGGATCTGCTGTTGATGGAAACTTTAATAGCCATTTTCATATTGCTTAGTTGGGGGCTGCTTGATTTTTTTTTTCCCCCAAAGAGCATTTCTCATTGTAGACACAAATCACACAGTCCCAATCTACTCTCCCCTTCCCAGGTTGCTGGGCCCTGGTCTAGTCTCCTTCCCTCTACGTAGTGGCATGGGGGTCTCTTACTCTACTTGCATCCATGAAGACCTCCCCTCCTCCTTTCTTGCCTTCCCTCAGACTCTACTTTGCCCAAAGCCACAGCTGTGACTGCAGCAGCTGTTTCCTAGCAAAGTCATGTCAGCAGCATTAGATTAGGCAGCACTAATGTGGTTTAATGGCCTTTCCTGCAATTTAGCAGCTGGATAGAAGGAAAAGGACCTAGTGGCATCATGTGATCAGCCAGCTGTCTACAGAGACCATTGGCCTGTGCTTCACGGAGCCCAGATGGGACTACCTGGATTGGATTGTCTTTAAAGACCATCACTCTGGGTCTCAGGGTTTCCTACAGAGCCTACCTCTGTACTATCAAAACATCATCCTTGGCTATATTATCATTGTGAGAGTGGCTGGAGACCTCAAATGTAGGTGGGGTCCTGTTGTGTTGTGCGCTATATAATACACAGTAAAGAAACACATCATTCCTAAGGAGTCTGCAGTCTAAATGAACAAGCAGACTAAGAAAGTAGGATTATCCCGAGTCTCAGCAAACTGAGGCACGGAGATATTAATTGACTCTCTCAAGGGCCCACAGTAAATTTACATCAAAGCTGAAAACTGGACCCACCAATTAGTATTCCTGGCTATGGAGCACTAACACCACAAGGACATGCAGCTTAATATGACCACAGGCAGTGAGGGCAGCCTGTGTGTTGGGGGGTGGTATTTGGATCAGGAAATCCAGTGGCAATAAACCTGATTTCCATGCAGTGTGGGAATCGGTGCAGCACCTTGGATTTTATTTGCAGTATACTCTTTACAGTAGCTCTATTTGCAGGATTTTATTTGAAGTAGCTCTTACCTGGCATCTTTGGGAACACAGTTAACCCGGGGTTTATCTTCCTTCGCACATGCAATTCCGCTGCGCACCCAAAACTCAATTGGAATCGAGACAGAAAATCATCAAGATCCCCGCTGTTTATGAGAGCAGCATAACGTTTCATACATGTTTAACAGGAATGATAAAAGTAAAGCAGGCCGAATGGTACACCAGCCTGGCCTAACGGCAATTACCGCCATCAAGTTAATTCGACGGTGAAATCAACCTTGTAAAACCTTTCTATGGATGTACGGGAATCTGGGGAGTAGAGGGCATTTATACCTTTGTCAAACAGCTCTGAGGCCATCAGGAACAATAGCTGAGGCTGATGGCAGCAGGAGGAAAGACGAGCGTATATTGATTGCTTTTTTTTTTTTTATATATATATATATA